TCTGAACCACTCACTTTAATTTGGCTACAGCCCAGCCTTTCCTTTAAGACCCTATGAGCCCAGCACCGTTGTCTGTAACTTGCTTTATAAAAGGCTGGAAGTAAAGAGTGGAATTACTAAGCAAAATAAGAAACTTTTGACTCAGGTATCAGACTTGAGCTTGCTCCTGCTGGTCCTCCTTGGCCTGGCCAGATGCTGTATTGCTGGAAATGGTCTAATCCTATATAACGAAAGCCTAATATGCTAACTGTCTGACCTTTCGTTTGACCGTTCGACCAGTCGCTAAGATGTGCACTGACCACCAGGGGGCAGATGCTCCTACTGGTAAGTTAGCTAGCTACTGGGATCTGGCTGATTGGGACTGGGCGAGGGGGGCTGGACACACTTTGGAGCCCTCCCACGGTCCCTCCCTGGCCCTGATCGTGCACCTGTGGGGTCCCTCAGCCTGGCCTGCACCCTCTCTCAATCTGGGACCCCTCAGGTGATGTTGGAGAGCCAGTTTCAGCCCATTTCCCACAGGCCAGGCCAAGGGACCTCACCGGTGCACGAATCCATGCACTGGGACTCTAGTTTATAATAAATGTCTTTACCTCACTTCTTATTCTGCATTCTTTTTTTAAAGGATATATATTTTATTGATTTCAGAGAGGAGGAAAAAGGAGAAAGATCAATGATGAGAGAGAATCATTGATCAGCTGCCTCCTGCACGCCCCCTACTGGGGATCAAGCCCACAATCCAGGCATGTGCCCTGATGGGGAATCAAACCATGACCTCCTGTTTCATAGGTCGATGCTCAACCATTGTGCCACTGCAGTCTGGCATTCTTTAAGCCCACAACCCTCTGTCCCCAGCCCCTTCAGCCCAAATCAATTATCATCCAAAGAAGCCCTCTGAGGGGTCATCCAAATGAAAGACCATGCCCTTTCATTTTATCTATGACAGTTTCATTTACGCATGTTTACTTTTTCTTATCCTTGTTAGACTCGGAAACTTGGTGATGCATAGCCAAGAGGTTCCCTAAAGCTGTTATCACTCCAAGATTAACTCTGCTGCATTTTCAAATAGTAATTTTCCCCACTTGCTGCCTATACTCTTTTGATAAGAAAACAGAAGTCCCAAAGTCCTAGTGACTTCCAAGTGGCATAGCTTTTCAGAGATAGATTTTAGGCCAGAACCTTTAGTTCTGAGACTTCTCACTTCCAATCTAGTACACTTTCTGTATAAACCTCTCTAATCTTCTAGCCGAGGAGCTCCTTGAGGGCATGGAAGAGTAATCTCGCTCAGCACAGTGCCTGGAACATGGTAAGATTATGCTCCGTGAACGTCTGCTGCTGAATATACATGCTTCATCCACATTTCCTCAACATCCTTTTAGCCCCAAGCTCTTCAGCCTTTCCCTCGGGAGCCAGCGACCAGTTGTGACCAGTAGAGGGCAGCAGAGGAGCAAAAGCACTGACCCTGGAGGGGATGTTTGAAGTGTTGCAGTAGAGTCAAAGCCAGAAACATCATGTAATACAGATGTCACATCTAGCAAATAAAAACACCAGACACTCTGGGACATGCTTAATTGGAAAGTTATTCCTTGTCCTGGAGAGTATTATGTTAAGTGAAATAAGCCAGTCAGAGAAAGACAGAACGGCACCTGGAGCACTCCCTGAGGCCCTGGAATGTAGCACAAGAGCTTTATGGAAGCCCTATCTAAGGAGGGGGAGAGTGACATTAAGAGTTGGAAGCACATAGAAGCAGGGAACAAACTGTGGAATCTTAGAGGGAAGGCAGGGGTGGGTGGGTGGAAAGAGATCAACCAAAGAACTTGTATGCATATATGTATAATCCATGGACACAGACAATAGGGTGTGAAGGCCTGGGGTGGGGAGGAAGGGGGGCAGACTAGAAGGGGTCAATGAGAGGGGAAGGGGACATATGCAATACTTTCAACAATAAAGATTTTTTTAAAGTTGTATTGTGTGATGCAAATAAATTATAAAATCAAAATAGCGATAAAATACTTTTATTATTAAACAACTCAAAGAAAGAGTTATTCCTTGTTTAGCTGAAATTCAAATGAACTAGGCATCCTGTGTTTTACCTGGCAACTCCAACCAGTGCCATCGCACATGAAACTGATGCTCAGTAAGTGGCCTCAGTCCTCCTGAGGAGCCTGTTGGAAGGAATCTGACAGGGAAGGTGTATGGTGAGCTTACAAAAATCAGATGGTGACAGCTGAAAGGGGATTACACCATCTCCATATGCGGGCAATTCATAGCTCTTCAAGGCCTGTGGAGCAATGAACAGGGAAAGCTCCAGTGAGAAGGTGCGATTTGAGTGAAGACTCAAAGATGGTGAGGGAGTTAGCCATGCAGATCCGTGGGCAGGAGCAGAATGGGCAAAGGGGGGCAGAGGAGGAAAGTCCGTGAGACCGACAGGAGAGCAGAGCATGGAGGAACTTCTAGGCTTTTGCTTTCACCATAAATGTGATGTGGAGCCATTGCAGGGTTTTGAGCAAAGGAGTAACACACTAAGACTCATTTTATTTTATTTTTAATACATTTTATTGATTTTTTTTTACAGAGAGGAAGGGAGAGGGATAGAGAGTTAGAAGCATCGATGAGAGAGAAACATCGATCAGCTGCCTCCTGCACACCTCCTACTGGGGATGTGCCTGCAACCAAGGTACATGCCCTTGACTGGAATCAAACCTGGGACCTTTCAGTCCACAGGCCGACACTCTATCTACTGAGCCAAACCAGTTAGGGCTAAGACTCATTTTAAAAAAATCACTATCACTGCTATGTTGAGGAAAGGCTGTGGAGAGTGAAAACTGGAGAGAGGAGGTTGGTTAGGAGGTTACTGCACTAGCACAGAGAATGCAGAGCTCGGACTAAAGTGAGAGCAGTGGGCATGTTCAGAAGCAATGAATTCTGGGTATATTTTGAAGGTGAGTCAACGGAATTTGCTGATGGATTGGGTATGGGATCTAGGAGACAGAGGCATCAGGGATGAGTCCAAAGAATTTGGCAAGAAAGGAGAATTGCTGGAGTGGTGTTCCTGAGTAGATGAGAGGGGACTGGATCTAGACCGTATCCAAAATAGGACTACAATTAAAGCGTTCATACTTCATAGCATCAATAAAAAGGATATAAAAAGAAAGTGGAGATTGTGAGGCCAACCAAGAGGCAATTGTAATAAGTTAGGGGAGATGAGTACAGATGAAGGTGCTGTAACTCTCCGGCTTAAGTAATCAGGGCTCCTCACAAGGGCCCCAGGCATCAGGAGTCTCACTCATAGAAGTGACTTCCTTAAATCTGTGACCCTCTCTGGTACCTGGGACCAGCTGAGATTGGACTGGCATCCACCTACGACTTGGAGTGAGGCACTCCAAGCTACAACTGGGGCCCCATGTACTAGTAGACTCAGTTCCATTTCTCTATTTTGGGATGCTCCCCTGCCTGCAGTCCACTGAGTGGAGTTGACCAGATGTCCCAAGTTGCTCCATGATTCATGCCTATCCGGTCAGTTATCCTGGGTTGTGGCCAGGTCCTGGCTCTAGGAGGGGCCCTGGAAAGCCAGTCATGCCCCCGGGCAATGCAGTTTTGTTTATTTGTTTGTTTTTAAGAATTGTGTGAGATTGGGCTGCCAAAATGGCACTGGCATGCTGACTTAGGTGGCTTAAATCATTTATGAAGACAGGGCCCTGCAAAAAAAATATTTGCACCAGGCTCTACATACCCTAAGGATGACCCTGAGTGTGATATAGCAATGAAGGTTCAATCAGAAAGATAGTTTAAAGAAAAAGGGATTGGATTGTTTATTTGTTTGGCGTTGAGTTTTATGAGTTCTTTGTATATTTTGGAAATTAAACCTCTGTCGGAGCTGAGTTTGCAAATATCATCTCCCATCTGGTTGGCTGCCTGCTTGTTTTGTTGTCCACTTATTTTGCTGTGCAGAAGCTCTTCAGTTTGATATAGGCACATGGTCCTACATACAGATTTTGTAAATTAGTAATCCACACATGTAACCTATATGTTCATGTAGACTAATGTCACCCCAATAAAATTTAAAATAACAAAAAAAAACACATAAAGAAAAAGGGAGAATGGACACCACCTCACATTATTGGATATAATGATATCTGAGTGTCATCTTAGGTGAATTCCCCCACTACCCACCCCAGAAATGCCTCCAGCCTGTGCGATGATGGGATTTAGCAAAGAGATAGCAGGCGGAGCTTTTTGAAGAGCAGTGCGGGAGCTGTAAGGAAGTAATTTTTCTCAAAATATGAAGTCATGGTCAAATATTATGGGGAAGGTGTCAGCCAACAATAATCCCTCCAGAACAGAGCCAGCCAGGAAAGAGGTAAACAGCATTCATTTCTCCCACATGCGTTATTAATCTCAGACCCCTGAGCATAGAGTTCTTACCAATTGACCCAGCAGCTACGTGGAAAATAATCACACACACACACACACACACACACACACCCGGTGCAATTTAAGTTATTTATCACTTATTTATGACATCACGTTGTGGGTATCTTTTAAATCTACTCTGAGATCTCAAAGCAGTGTGTGCATGTTTCACAAATCTTAAACAAACAAGTGAGAGGCAACACATCGAGGAGTTTTATTCGGCTACAAAATGAGTCCCCCGCGTAGCCCAGTGTGTCCGCGGTGGGCGTGCAGAACCTGAGAACAGAGCTGCGCCTGACCGTGTAGTAGCTCAGAGCCTGGGCACGGGAGCCGGACTCTGCCTCGTCCACTTCCAACCTCAAGCCCGGCATTTTACCTCTCAGTAGCTGTTTCCTCAGAGTCGAACGAGCGTTTTAATGGCATCTACTTCATAGATCTGTTGTGAGGAGTAAATAAATTAATTTATAAAAAGCACTTCGTGGTTGGCACATCACAAATGCTCAAAAGTAGCCATTATTATTGTTTATATCTAAAGGAAAAAGATAAAAAATACACAAATGGCTTTTCAGGCTGAAAGCAGTTCGATCAACATGGCAGGTGCTCTGAGTCTCCTGCTGGGGACGCGCGTCCCTGCTGTTGTCGCTCCCTGTGGATTCGCGACCCAGGGGGTGGCAGGCCCGGGATCTACCGGCAGCGAGCCGAGCTGGACCCCGATTCCGACTGGGAACCAGAGGTGGAGAGCGCCCTGAAACGACAGAAAAAAGCCATCCTGTTCCAGAAAATTCGGAGGCAAATGGAGCCGCGAGGGGCCCCGCCCCGGACGCTGACCAGGGAAGCCATGGAGCAGATCCGGTATTTACATGAAGAATTTCCAGAGTCCTGGTCAGTTCCCAGATTGGCTGAAGGCTTTGCTGTTAGCACCGATGTGATCAGAAGGGTTTTAAAAAGCAAGTTTGTACCCACATTGGAGAAGAAACTGAAGCAGGATCAAAAAGTCCTTAAGAAAGCTGGGCTTGCCCCCTCGCTCCGCCAGCTTCCAGGCCCTGGGGAGACCTGGAAGCTGCTTTCTGCAGGCCACCCCGTGTCAGGAGGTGAAGCCTCATCCCAAGGCCAAGGTCACAGCACAGCTTTGAAGGTGATAGAACCGAATACGCAGAGTACAAACACTCTGAGGAGACAGAAGGGAAGGAATAAAGGAGTCCAGAGCCTGGAGAAGGAAAGCTTTGTGCCTGTTGCTGCAGCCCAAGGTCATCAGAGAGTGCTGCAGAAGTTCTCCACCAGCGATTGTGAGGGCACCAGAGGCACTGGCAGTGATGGATTGCCAAGTGCGCAGAAGCTGAAAGAGTTGAGGGCAAGAGAACTGGGTGACCAGAACTTCAGCAGCAAGGTCGTGCAGAAGCAGCAAGAGTTCTTTGACGACAATGGGAACTTCCTGTATAGCATTTGAACTGGAGCCTGGCTTAGGGAGATGTCACGTAAAACACAGCTGAGCGAGTATATTTGAACTGCCTGGATTTCCGTGTGTGGATTATCCACCTTGGAAGTGATGAGCCTGGAAATGGAAGGAGCTGCTTGGATTTCAATCTGACAAGGGACAGTGAACTTCACAGGGCAGATGCATATGCAGGCAGCGTTTGAATAACGGGCTAGGTATAGTCTAGCTCCTGGAGCATGGCTCCTGGTCTGACCCATGTGGGTATTCAGTACTCACCCTTCTTGCTGAGGCTTTCTCTGTGTCAAAATCAGCCTGTGTCGCATGTGTTAGGAGTTCGTTGTATTTGTAATATGTTTGGAAGGAATTGAAGTTTTCCTTCTGGCATCGTTTACTTCTTGATTAAGGAACACTAACAGTTCTAGAGCTGCTTAGTCAATTGGTTGTATTCGTTTTGTGCAAAATAAAGTGAAATGTAGCCATCAAAAAAAAAAAAAATACACAAATGGCCCAGTAGACATGGCTCAGTGGTTGAGCATCGACCTATGAATCCGGAGATCATGGTTCGATTCCCATGTGCCCTGGTTGCAGGCTTGATCCCCAGTGGGGGGTGTGCAGGAGGCAGCCAATCAATGATTCTTTCTCATCATTGATGTTTTGCTCTCACTCTCCCTTTGAAATATATATATAATTTTTAAAAATATACAAATGTTCTAGTTCCTGTATATGAAAACATTTTCTCTGCACTCTCCAAATTCTGTTTACTTCCATTAAAAAAGGGGGATTTTAGAAATTTTATATGCCTTAGGAAACCTGCCATTGGGTAAAATGAGTTGTCACAGTGTTACAGCTATTTTTTAAAAGAATTTTTAAGTTCTTTTCTCTGCTGCCCTGCATCCGCTTCCTTGCGCCTCAGTGTAATTTGCTTTATGTGTTCTATTTCTTGTCTCCCAGTCATCCCTTCTTTTTTTGCTCATGATTATTCCAACCTATTCTTTTTATTTTACTTTTGTCCAGTGCTTCATAAGCTGCATGGTTTTTTTCCCCTTGACAGAAGTAGATGTGGTAGGTGGAGTCTTCTCACAGGTGGAGGGAATTGTCCAACCATTTAGAATAAACCCAAGAAAACACCTGCTGATCTGAAGGCAGTTTGATTTCTGCAACAAGGCTGGTCCTGCGGACTGCTCAGCTATATTTCTATTCCATGAAGTCCGTCTTCATCTATTGCTGATTATGGATTGCATGAGCATCGCACTTTCACTTGTTCCCCAATTTGCATTTCTTCTGTTCAATTATTCATCCCTCAGCCAACAAACATAGCATACTATCTTATCAATGTCAATTTAATAATATTTCTGCCTGTTTCCATCGATCACTGCATCTGAAATAATAAATCTCCTCTCCAGTCATTTTCTGGCCCCTTAATTGCTTTCATGGTTGTTTCTAGTTCTTAGAATCACTTGATATTTGCTTTTACTTGTTCTTTGACAATCTCCTCCCACTAGAATAGTGGTTCTCAACCTTGGCTGCACATTAGAATCACCTGGGAATCTTTTTAAAATCCTGATTTCTGGGCCTCATCCTCCGGAAATTCTGTTTCTTTGTTACTAATGCTGTGGCCTCACCCCATAACAAAGAAACAGAATTTCCGGAGGATGAGGCCCAGAAATCAGGATTTTAAAAAGATTCCCAGGTGATTCTAATGTGCAGCCAAGGTTGAGAACCACTGCACTAGAAGGTTCAGCAACTTGGTTTGTTTGTTCACTGTTTTCTCAGTACTCAGAACAGTAACTGTCTTGAAATCTATATTGACTGAATGAGTTATAATCATGTGCATCTTCTTACTAATATTTTCTAAACTTCTGCAGCTTTTTAAATGTATTGTATAAAATAAGATGAATAATTTTCATAAAATGCCTACAAATTAAGACCAATATGGCGGACTAGGAATGGCTCCCCAGTACCATCTCTCTGGGGTAGCAGAGTTGATGTGTTTTGGGTTTGGTGTTTACCATGATCATGGCATGTTTCTTAGGAAAGAAGCTTATAGAAAACATATTTAAGGAAGCAATAATATTTTTATCAGCATGTTCTCCTAGAACTTAAAATCTCACCTACTGAAACAGAAATATAAGAACATGGATTTAGCCCTACAAATATTTTAGCTACAAATATTACCTAAATTGTCACAATTTAGGTAATAATGCAAACTAAAGTGAATTGCAATGGAGGTGATTGGGATCATTTCTTTGTAATATTTAGAAACAAGGGATTAACATCAAGGTCAACTCATTACACTAGCATTTTGACTGAAGCACCCATATGACAAAGAAGAGGGCATGGATGCCTCATGGGTCTTGAGGTATTGCCCAACCTGTGCCCACAAGGATGAAATTACTTGTAGGTTTTATCTTTTACCTTAAAAGTTCACATCCAGTTTCTTCCATATAATATACTAGAGGCCCAGTGCACGAAATTTGTGCATGGAGGGGAAGGGCTCAACCCGGCCTGCAACCTCTCCAATCCGGGGCCCCTCAGGGGATGCCCGACTGCCTCTTGAAATCCGGGACCGCTAGCTCCTAACTGTTCGCCTGCCCGCCTGCCTGCCTGATGGCCCCTAACCACCTCTGCCTGCCTGCCTGATTGCCCCTAACTACTCCCCTACTGGCTTGATTGCCCCTAACTGCTCCCCTACTGGCTTGATTGCCCTTAACTGCTCCCCTGCTGGCCTGATCGCCCCTAACTGCCTCTGCCTCGCCCCACACCCAGGACCCAGGATTCCCTCCCTCTGGCTGGCCACAGGCACCCAGGACCGGGGCCGGCTTCGCCCGGGCCAGTTGCAGCAGCAGGCGCCTGGGACCGCAGGTCGGGTGGCTTGTCCCTCTCCCGGACCACAGCCCCAGCTGCTGGCACCCAGGACCACGGGGCGGGCGCCTTGTCCCTCTCCCAGGCTGCACCCTGGCTGGTCCCCATTCCTCTCTCATGAGCTCATTTGTGCCTGGCTGGTCCCCATTCCTCTCTCCCCAGTGTTGAGTGTCTGAGCCTTTGGCATGACAGTGTGAGGGCATGACGGTATGACGATCATTTGCATATTAGCTCTTTATTATAGAGGATCCTTATTTTTGAAATATAAAAACAACATATTAAATAATAAATATAAAATGAGTCAACTGAACACTCCAATAAGCCTTTTATCTTGAGGGTTATTCTCTCCCTGGTGTTCACCACTTACCTAGTAGGAGTCTGGATTCATTAGAGAATTACAGAACTAGATGTCACTCCGGGGTAGGCTCCTGCTTCCCTGGCTCTCTGTTGGTGCCGCACAGTGCTCTCCCAGGTTCTAGCATGCAAAGCTCCTCTGCATCGGCCCCAAAGGCACTTTTTCAGCCCTTTGCCCCATTAACTCCCAATCTACATACTTTAATTAAATTATAGAAACTTTTTGGGAAGGGCCATTATTGTTTCCTTACAAATCTCATTTAAGCCACCAAAAATAGACATCTAGTACATGTTCTGTATTGTCAGTAAGGCTACCCTAGGTTCTGCTGATAAGAGAAACAACTCCATAGTCTTGGTGGGTTAACACAACAAAGATTTATTCTCCTTTATTCAAAGTCTACTGCAGGTCCACGTAACTCTACAGGACATTTGTCTGTTACAGGATGGCTCACTGTTGCACCTCACACTCCCACAATCACCGTGGAATAATCCGTGCTAGAGAGTTGAGAGATGCAATTAAATGTTTCCACCCTGAAGTGACATGTTGCTCTCATTTTATTGGCCACAGCAAGTCAGATGGTCATTACTAACTTCAAGTTCATGGGGAAATAAAGCCCTACTGTGTACCTGGAACGAGAGGGACACTGGATATCAGTGGGCAACAGTATTACCTGTCACACATACGTCTACCTGTTGACCAAATGAAACCCAGTGCCTTTTTATTATAATTTCGGCTCGGTGTATAATTGTCAATCTCTGGTAATCCTGTTATTTAACCTGTTTCTTGTTTTAATTCTACCATTTCCCTTTGGACCCCATTTTAACAAACACAAAAGACAAAATGCTAATTTAGACATGCATCAGGATAAATTAATTTACTACAGCGCTTCCCCCAAAGTGTGAAGCCATCATTATCATAACTACACATTAATTGGATGCTTTACCTCATCACATTAATTAAACAGGTCACTAAACCTTATTCCCTCCTCACTCTCCCAATAAAATGTTTAGGTTTTACTAATGATAACTTCACAGCGTGGTGCTTGCCTTGCTACCCCCCAAGCACTCTAAAACAAATGTAAATATAACCAGAAAACACATTACATGTAACCTAGGAAAACACTCCTATGTGAGAAGCAACATGAATGAGATACTGACATGTTTTGCTTCATAAATCAGATTAATTGCTTTCTTTCATAAGCATTTCCTAGGAGAGACTTCAAGGGGACATGGAAGGGAGAGCTTGGTTTCTGCTTGATGAACAACCCTGTTTGCAGAAGAAAATGGGTAAGCTGTTCGAAGCCTTTGGTGGCTTCTCACCGACCCCACTGTGGCCTCTCAAGCACCGCAAGCTGAGGTCCCACCCACCTCCCATGCCCACTCCTCGTCCACCTGACTTCGGCTACTGGCCTCTCTGTCAACCCTGGGACCCCTCTTGTCCTTTCCCACCTTTCCCCCATGACACCGACTTTTTGGAAAATCCAGGTCAGCTGTCTAGTAGAATGTCCCATCTGCTGGCTTAGGTGTGGGCAAATTTTGGCCTGTTTTGTACAGCCCTGGAGCTAGGAATAGTTTTATATTTATAAAGGGTTGTAAAAAAGAAGAGAAAGAAGAAAGAAGAGGAGGAGAATGATGTGAAAACTGTATGGCTTACAAAGCCTAAAATATTTACTAGTTGGCCCTTAAAAAATTTTTTTTCTGACCTCTGTTCTAAATCTTTATGTTTCCTCATGGTATTATTTCGTTTATGCCTCAGGTCCTTGGATTTGGGGCAAATTAGAATTTGGTTCTAGAACTATGTCGTCCAATATGATAGTCACCAGCCACATGTAGCTATTGAGCACTTGAAATGAGGCTACTTCAAATTAAGGTGTGCTATGAGGGTATCATCACATCAGATTGCAAAGATCTATGATGTAAAATATTTTACCAATGATTTGTATATTGATTGCCATGTTGAAGTAATATTTTGGATATATTGAATTAAGTTCATTTTTAAAATTAATGTCACCTATTTCTTTTTTTCAATATAGCTATACTACAAACTTTTAAATTATATATATATATATAGTTCACATTATGTTTCCATTGGACAATGCTGTCCTAGAGCAGTGCTTAAAATCAGGTTAAATATTTTTGGCAAGAATACTTCACAGCTGACCTTATGTTCATCACTATATTGTATCACAGTGAGACACATTTGTTTGTCCCATTATTAATGACTAGAGGCCTGATGCATGAAATTCATGCAAGGGCCTTGGCCTTGGCCTCGGCCCCCA